AAGCATCCTGGAGCAAAGCCAGCTGCAGCAATGGGTACTTTAAAGATCCAGGTGAACTCCAATCTGTTTAATTTCTTGTGATAGTACCTGCTTGGAATCAAAATGATAAATATTCCAGAAAATCACGAGCAAATAAAGTGTTGTTTTGCAGGATATAGAGAATATGTTATCTAAAAACAAAGAATAAGATTTCCCCACGTGTTAAAATTTAGCATTCATGCAATTTTCTGTTATTGCATTGAGCTGGAAACTCATACATGTTGACTAATCTTAGCTGCTCGGCTAAAAAGAGACTCTCCCTTAGCCGAACAACTAAAACATTAATTTCTCTCCCCCGGTGCCTTAGGAGGGCTGTGTGTGCTTCTGATTGAGAGAGATGGATGCACCGAAGGAGGTGTAAAGCAGAGATCTGGAAGGTGGGCAGCCAGGGCAAAACTGCTCCAAAAACACAGGCAAGAGGCATTTCCAGGCTGGATAGTTTATCTCTTTTCCTTTTGGTGGCACTGTCGGCTCAACTATTATCAATCATACCTCCTTGGGAGTCTGCCTTCCTCTCCGGACCAAAATGCAGCTCTTGGTGCTGGGGGAAATACATTGCAGCAAACTGTTTCTGTTGCTTTCACAGGTTTTTTGGGGAAAGGTGTTGATGCACACAATGAGGTGATTACACAGCATTGCAACTGCAACAAATATCCACTGGGCAAACGCTGGTCCAGGCTGGACATGAAGATGATGGAAAGACCAGAAGATTCCCTTCACTGCCTAATTCTTCCTGGAATGCTTCTCCTCCAGTAAAACCTACTCAGAGCCTGGGCAAGGAAGGGGCAGAGAAGAGCTTCAAAGTGGAAGAGCTCCATGCCTGCTTCTGGTGTGTTTCTAGCCTCTAATTCATCTTCCATGCACATTCCTGCAGAGCAGGCACTCATGTTTTGCTGCCCACAGAAACAGGCTTGTTTGGTAGCTCCTGGAGGGGATAACTATTTCTGCTATGTGGTCCTGACATCTTCCCACAGCCTGGATCTATCTGGTTGCTGTAGCCATGAAGTTGTCCTCTTATCACCACTCCCACATTGCTTCAGGCTGTTTGTACATTGCTTTTTAATTTACTGGTCTCTGATCATGTGACTCAGCTGCTCAAAGAGACACCAGGCATGAGACCCTGATGACCAGTGACCCTGTCTGCAGCAGTGAGGTTTAATGTTGTTTTACTTGTATCTTTTCCAGCAGCTTAAGCCATTATATATTATGAACAGGTTAATATTTAAAGAGAATTTAGCCCTGGATCAGCTGTATTTCCAATGAAATGCACCCTAGCCCAGAAATTGTTTACAGCTGGATAAGAAATTCATAAGCCCTTTTCATCTCTAACATACTCTGTCCCTGCTGAGTTGATTCTTTAATTCCCAGAGTGGTTAAATGTGAATCTACCACGAGTTCCTGAGTGTGCCCCAGTTCCTGCACTGCATTGCTCTCCTAGAGAAAATACACAGTGGGAAATTTCTTCCCTTTTATCAGTAGCATTATAAACCTGCTGTGGAAAGGATGTAAAATGGTCAAAAGAGTGTGGTAATGTGAAAACCAATGGGTTTGTGGTTAAGGAGGAGACAGAATCAAGAGTGTTCAGGATGACACAAACTCCCTCTTCCCTCTCTTGGCAGGAGAAAGAGGATTCCTCATTCCTAACCCAAACCACACTTATCTCCCTCTGATCAGCACGAGTGAGTGGCTGCTAGCCCAGCTGGGATTCAGAGTGGCAGAAAGCACAGATTGCTTTCCACTTCTCCCTGTGGCACTGCTGCCTCTGCTGCCTGTTACCAGTAAAAGGAGATTCCCTGTCAACTGGGAAATCGAGGTGTTTGCACAAGTACCAACAAACAGCACTGTATCCGACACTGGTGGAGGTAAGAGCTACAGCAGGATGTGACAGCATGCTGGAAAGTACTTTTGAGTGCAAAGATGCCCCTGCTAGTGCCACTGCCTGAAAGTTGCTTTGCTTTAGTATAACAGCAGTTTGGCAAGATCATGGAATCAGAATCCTAGAGTGGTCTGGGTTGGAAGGGACCCTTAAAGCTCATCTAAGTCCCCCTGCCAGGGACAAGGACACCTTCCACTGGATGAGGTTTCTCAAAGCAGCAGATAGAGCAGCAGCAGCACAGGTTTATCTGTGCGTAACAAGAGAGGTGCTGCATCCTGCCTGGAAATGGCTCCCCTGCTCCCAAATCTTAGCTGGCAGTAAAATGAAACTCTCTTTTTGAGCTGCAGCCACTACACTGTAGGGGCAAACACACCCTCACAAAGCACAGAGGAGCAGGGCACTGAGGGGATGAGTGAATATTAACTGCCCCAAGCTTGTGCCCAGGTCTCTGTCCGTGCTGGACTGATCCCTAGGTTTGTGGACATGGCTAACAGCAGCTGATGGCAAGAGCCACAAGTGTCCTGCACCCCCTGTACATGTGCCCACAGGTAGAGTTCCAAGAGCATCTCCATTCAGCTCTGTCCATCCCAGCCTCTCTGCCTCCCTCCTCTAGGCTAGGAGTTGTTTAAAATGAACTCTCCATAACATTTTGTTTCAACTCCTTGGTCAGCATTGCACAAAGACCTGTAATCTCCCTGAGTTAGCAGATGTTCTGAATTTGGCGTGGTAATGTGTTACTCACAGTTAAAGAGAACTCATATGATTAATGATTAATGCTGCTATCTGAATAATTACCTCATTCAGCCAGCTTTTCTTCTGGCTTTGCAAGAAAACATGCATGAAAAATGAGGACAATATCCTCTTTCTGCGTTATTGTATATATGGAATAACATTTCTTTTAGAAAGAAGAAAGCAAATTTAATTGAGAAAACAAACAACTGACAAGTTTCCACAGTGCTTGTGCACACATGTTCTCTCCAGCATTTATCCAGGAACACAGTTCCCCCCCAAATCCATTAGAGACCTGGTGCTTGAGGAAAACCTTCCTCATGGGGAATGCACATTGTTCAGAATATGCATTGAAAAATCTAAAGTTTCAGGTGTAGATTATCCTAGCTGATAACCATACATACAATATCAAATTTCCATAAGCAATTTCTAGACAAAAGCTTCCTTCAGCCAACTCGGTAATAAGGTTTCCTGTGTAGATGTGCATGCACATAAGGGATCATTGTTTTAAGGTCTTTTTTTTTTTTTTTTTTAAATATATTAATTTATCAATGGAAATTAAAATAGCAATTATTTAAGAAAAAACCTTAAATTTTTACATTTTCAACCAGTATTTTGGCATTCAAGATTTCTTGCTCATTAACTACCAACATTTTTTGTAGTTACCAGAATATAGAGACAAAACATATTTCAACAAAACCCAATCTGGTATTCCAGGAGGGCAATGTAGCAAACCTGATGCCAATCTTTTTAGAAAGACTCCGAAACTGATCCAAGGAACTGCTACCTGCAGAAATCTGGCCTCAATAGAATAAAATTTGCTTTGGGTTGTAGTAAATCAAAGCCAGATGAGACAGGTATATATATATGTACAATGGCCAAGGGCCAACAGATCTTTTGCAGAACAGTCCTGAAGTCCAAGAGGGCTTTTCTGGTGGAGTCAGTGAGCACAAGGATATCTGGTTAAGGAGCAGAAGGATGTCCTGCACAGAGTGGCTGGGTGCTTTTCAGGTGTAAGACATTAGATTTACTATTTGAGTGTCACATAGGAGGCACAACAGGCAGGTTGGGCTCAAGACCAGGTATTCACCATTCGAGAAAGGGAACCCAGCCTTGAGCATCAATCAGAAAGGCATGCTAGGCATTCCCAGCAAAGGGTTTGAGATCAAAACAGAAAATATGCTGCTGAGTGTCTGGTTCTTGCCTATCATTTGTGGTTCTGGTTGCACAGTTCAAAGACTTTAAACAAAAATGATTGAGGAGGGTGGAAAGGAACATCTTGCATGAAAGGGGAATTAAACAGAGCTGGGGTCTTGACACTGCGAAAGACAGGACAGAGGGAGAAGCAGGTAACAGAGGTCTAAGAAAATTGTGAACGCCATGTAGAAGGAATGGAGTAGAGGGCAACTATTCATTGCTTGCCAAAATACAGAATTTGGGGGTATCCCCTGAAAAGTGAATACTGAAACTGGGAGTCTCTCCCAAAACAACGAGGCAGTGTGATTTTACTGCTGCAGGGATGTTTTTTCATTGATGAAAGCTGCTATACCCTTTACCTCTAGATTTACACATTTCACTTGCGAGTTCCCATCACACTTCTCCCCAAACCCCTGAAGTTTTTTCTCTCCCCTTCCCACGGAACTCCATCCCTCACTGATCTGCCCAAGGAGCGATGCTGCTCCTCCCGCTCCTCGCTGCTAGCAGCCGCGGCGAGAAGAGCTCTCTAACTCTCTTTAACTCTCTTTGCCTCGACGGACGAACTCCCGGCGAGAAGAGGAGAGTTCTCTAACTCTCCCTCGACGGATGAACTCCGGCGAGAAGAGGAGAGTTCTCTAACTCTCTTTTCCTCGACGGATGAACTCCGGCGACGAGAGGAGAGTTCTCTAACTCTCTTTTCCTCGACGGATGCACTCCGGCGAGAAGAGGAGAGTTCTCTAACTATTTTCCCTCGACGGACGAGCCCCCCGCGGCTCGGCCGTGCCCCTCCCGCCCCGGGCCGGGCTGTTCTCCCCGCCGGGTCCTACGCGGCTCCTTTAAGCTCCAGGGCGTGATGTCACTGAGCCGGAGGCACCGAGCGCGAGGCGCGCGAGAACGGAGAGATCCCTCACCGCTGTGGGATCGCTGTCCCGTCCGGACTGAGGGCACGGGGCTTGGTGGGAATCGCCTCCCGTCGGGGAATCCCTGCCTGGTGCGAACCCTGTGACTGTAGACATCATAGAATCATAGAATTAACCAGCTTGGAAGAGACCTCAAAGATCATCGAGTTCCACCCTGGTCCGGAGGGATTCTCTGCCGGCAGGACATCCCCTGACCGGCAGGGAATAGCAGCCCGGTGGGACGGGCTGGGTGGCTCAGCATGGGAAGTTTCCAGCTGCAGGACTTCGTGGCAGGCTTGGTGGGTGGTAAGTGATGCTGCGAGTTCGGGCTGGGGGGAGGGAGAGACGTGGGGAAAGCAGCCGTGCCTGGGGATAAAATCCCTCGTGTCTTTAATGTCTAGATTAATTCAGACATTGGAATAGGTTGCCTGGGATGGGCAGGGAGTCACTTCCAGGGAGTCACCATCCCTGGAAGTGTTTAAGAGGCATCTAGACCTGGTGCTGGAAAAAAAATGGTTTAGGGTTTAGGGGTTACAGCAGAGTGAGAGGTTAATGGTTGGGCTTGATGATCTTAAAGGTCTCTTCCAGCCTTGATGATTCCATAACACTATACCAATGGTCTGTGTGTCTGCCCAGCATCTCCCAAGGTTTGTTTTGCTTTGTTTTGGCTCACAAGTGCAGTTTCATCCCATTTCCACAGGCGGAATACTTAAAATTGAAGTCACAGAACATGTGATGTTGCAGCGTGGGGATGACTTCTAGAGCCCTCCCATACCCCCAGCTCTGCCAGCTCTCCCATCCTGGAAGCTCTGCTGGCTTCAGAGTGCAGTTGGCAGCAGCCAACCTGGGGTCCCCCAGCCCCTCATGCCTAGGAAAGGCACTGCTGGGCTCTGTCCCCACTGCCCTGCCACGGCCACTGGGCTGATGGCCAGAGCAGGGATTGATCCTGTCTGCTGGGAATGCCTATGGCAACACCAGGAAACACATCTCAGAAAGAAAACCGAAACACGATGACTTGTAGAGGTGCCAGTAAAGGGACATGTTTCACGGAACTGAGAGACACCTACTGGGTTTCACAGCTGAGAGGGTGAGCAGCCTTGCTGCCCCACTCCAGGCTGGGCAGAGGGTCCACCAGCCACCACAGAGAAAAACTCTGCCCAGCTGACCACTCACACCAGGCACACGAGGTGGGTGTGAGGTGGCTCACGGGTGACCGGCCAGACAAGGTTAATAAGTTAGCTGACTCTAGAAATCCCAGAATCTCTGCCAAAAGCTTACGTGAGCAGCTGATTTTTGGATCTTCGTAGCCTGTGGTCATGCCTTCTGCCCCACTGTTGCTGCACACCCCCAGGCATGGGACAGGATGTCCCAGGAGGTGAACAGCTACTAACACTCAGCAGCAGTGACAGATTGCAGTTTTTGTGTGTCGCATTAGACCACAGATGGTCTCAGGTCCAGGAGGAGAGGGGACATTTTATAACACATTTTTGAGTAAAGTCATGATGTGTTTAGCAAGGGCATGATGTATTTACCCACTATAAGTGAGAAATTTCATGTAGTCTCCAAAGCACTCATGGGCACTGATTTGCACAGACTTCCTGATGAGGAAGCATCACAAATTTCTCACCATCTCTGCAAACCCTAAAAACTGCCAGTGTTGTTTGCAACAAACACACAAAATCATATGGCACACAGGCTGTTCCAGTCTCCTGGACTAGAGGGAAACCAAACTCTGTGCTGCCACAAGAGGCCCTGGCAGTGAGTGGCATGGGTAGGTGGGCAGATGGTAAGAGAGAATGGGTCAGTTTCTCCCAGAGAACCATAGGGAATGAGGCTGGATGGGACTGTAGAGATGTATACAGAGCAGAATCCTCTTTATCTGAATTATTACTGACAGGTATCTCTAGAAACTGCTCTTAAAACAGCAAAGAGTGAGGGGTTCACAGGTCCCATTAGCAGTCAGCTCTAGGACATCTCTTTCTGAGGCAGAAGAAAGCATTTCCTTGTGTCTATCAGGAATCTCACTATTCTAAGGCTAAAAATTTGTGTGAGCTTACAGGAGTGCAAGAGAGGTTGGTCATGGACAGGACATACGAACACAACACCTCCTTCTCTTGCTCAGATGCCTTTAAGATATAAAGCTGATGTAGTCCAGGAGAATGGTCACAGAAAGTGTTGTGCTCAGGTACAGGGCACCATGTTCATCATTGCTCTAGCTTGGCACCTTACCCCTGTTCCTATGGAATTCTCCTCTCCTATAAACCCTCTGCATCCTGTCCTATCACAAAATGTTTTCAGTGTTTTGTGTAATACTCTGCTTCCATCCCCAGGAGTTGCCAGCGTGGTTGTGGGCCATCCCCTGGACACCATCAAGGTAAAACACTTCAAACTATGTTCTCAAGTCACCATCCAAACCCCCACTGATCCAGACCCTCTCTCTAAGTGACACTTCAAAGGACATTCACTTACCCCAAGGGGGAATTTAGCCAGGATAAAAATGTTTTCAAAGACTTTCTTCCTCTCTCAAGCTCATTTTGAAAGAGAAAGTAGAAGAACTGACTAATATGTGTGAGTTCCTCCATGGAGAATTAATGCTGAAAATTAAACCTGCCCTTACTTAATGTGTGGTTCACAGAACAGTTCTGCCAATGTTTTATTGAACTTTGCCACAAACAAGTATTCAAAGGGCAATGAGGGAACTGTATTTGTTTTGCTGCAGGCACATTTTTATGTGTTTTCCTAGTGCTGGCAATGCTGGAAGGGCAGAGTGCTGGGATTGTTATCCCAGGGCTATGACACAGAGTATTTACAATTCCTGCCAGACAATTATTTCTCAGAGGGAAAGATTTAGAGAAGCAAGAAGATATTTGCCAACACGATACAGACAAGCCCATGCACACACCAATGCATCCTGCTCAACTGAGTTGACAATCTCTACTGATGCAGAGATAGAGAGGAAGATCCTGTTGCTTTCCCGTGTTGCCTGATCTTATTGTGGCCTTGGGGTACTTGAAGGGGACCTATAAACCAGCCAGATTTTTTAGCAGGGACTATTGTGATAGGACAAGGGGTAATTGTTTTAAACTGAAGGAAAGTAGGCTTAGATTAGATATAAGGAAGAAAGTTTTTACAATGAGGGCGGTAAAACACTGGCACAGGTTGCCCAGAGAGGTAGGGCAATGTCCCATCCCCGGAAACATTCAAGGTCAGGTCGGACAGGGCTCTGAGCAACCTGGTCTAGTTGGAGATGGCCCTGCACACTGCAGGGAGGTTGGACTAGATGATCTTAAAGTGTCCATTCCAACCCAAGCTATTCTAAGATTCTATGTGCTCTACTGTGTTTCAAGGCTGGTTGCTGGCACCAGGCAGGGCTGCTAGATTTCACAAACCCAAAAGCTGCTGGTCCTGTTTGCACCTTAAAGACCCTTGGAAAGGGATGGGGAGGAGGCAGAGTCCAGCACAGCCTACACTGCATCCCTTCCCTAGCCAGCACAGCCATACCCTTGCACACAGCTCCTGGGATAAGGAGCTGGCCAGCCAGCCCTATCCTTTCTGAGCTCCTAAGGTGATCCCAGCCCCAGGAGCATCACTGTGCAAAGATGAGCACAGATTCCACATGGGAGAAACCACAAGGCCAAGGCAACCCCCATCTCAGGCTGCTGGTCAGGGTGTCATTGCCAGGTTTGAAGGATTCTGGCAACAAGGATCCTGCTGGGAAGCACAGAGTTTCTGGATGCCAAGAAAGAGCAAGCCCATCCTTCAGCACTTATAAAGAAAAACTGTCAGGCTGCCCCCTCTGTTACCCTTGGCTTGGGACATTGCCTGGGAATACCAAGTAGGCAGCTTGTTACCTTTCCAAATTTAGGGGCAGGAAAGTGGGAAAGAGAGTTTTTACACAGCTTCCCATCAAGCAGGCTTCCTCCTTCAGCCACCCCTTCCCAGTTTTGCAGCTTCCCTCAAACCCAAGCAGCTGTTTTTTTCCCACAGTCTCACAAAATTCTAAAAGTTCTGCCTTTACTCACTTTTCATCCTCTCCACTGCATTCATTTTCCCAGAACTTTCTTCAGCTTCTGGGTGTCCCCTGAAAGCCCTTTCTAATCGAAACATAACATAAGGGAGAATTTTCCTGAGGAATATCCATACTGGTAGCAGTTGACTTTGTCAGAGGTGCCACCAGGGACAGCAGAGCTGGGTGTTAACAGATTAGCTAAGGGTCATGTGTAGGAGCAGGTTGTGAGGATGGCTCAGTTGCCCTCTGTTACTGAAAAAAGGTATTAACCTGAACCTCTAAATACCTGGTTACTGTGTAAAAGAAAAAAACCCAACAAGCCCATGGAGGCAAAATGGAAATGCCTGGGCTAAGCATTCAGATGAGGCCAGGAAGGAACTCAGGGCTGGGCACTGCAGTTGTCCTGTCCTGGGCTGCTCACGGTGCAGGTGCCTCCCTGCTGTCCCCCCTGGAGAGTGTGTCACAGTGCATTACCCTCAGGTGATTTAGGGTGTGCATGGTCTGCACCCATGGCCCAGACCTGCCCACATTGCACAACGTGTGCTGCGTGAGCTGCAGCAGCTTCTTCACGTACCAACTTGTTCCTAAGGGCTCAGAAAATATTCTGCTTTTGTTGCTGCCTTCTCCATGGCCTCTGGCCAGGCACAGAGCAGTGTGGTGACGCTCAGTGTGTGCACACAGCTGCATGGTGGGGTGGGAGGTGAGCCTGGGGTAAGAGGTGAACCTGGACTTCACTCCCTCCTGCTCCCCAGCCAGGGTCACACCGTGGCACCCACCAGCCTCTTGCAGGGCTCTGGGCCAAAGATTGTGGCATTCAACCTACTATTTGCCATCCAAAAGCTCTCCCCAGGCATGAACTCTGGAGGACACGCTCCTTTGGGCTTTAAATTCCCAAATAATTTCCTGCTTCATCCTAGTGTAAGTCAGGGCTGAGCCAGCAGATGGGACTGGACACTG